TACCAGTCTTTTCCTGTTGTTAAAAATTCAGAATGTTCAGCCAGATGATGCTCACTGTACATTTCACCCCTAACATGTTAATGCTAACTGTGCTCCTTCACAGTCCCCACAAGGGGACTAACACTGCAAATCATCAGGTCAGTAATTCCATGCTGCTCAAGGCCACCACACTTGAGTCTAACTGCTCTCTTCCAAGAACTGCCAGTGCCTTCAAAGGTCAATATTAATTCTGCCCATCTCCAATTTAAAGGAAAGCTTTCTACACCTGTCACAGGATGTACACATTTTCTACACCCTAGCTTGGTTTTACTTTAGAAATGTTATAGCTATCCTAGAGGTTTGGATTATATTGAATGCATCCTTCAATCCTCCTGAAATGCCCAGCACATGAACTCCAAGTAAATATATACAGATCAGATACACAATAGTACTATCTGCTTAAAATTATTTATTTTTTGTACCCCAGAACCTCAAAATAAATTATTTAAAATTATCTTGAGAGGGATGGTGTGAGTATGGTGTATGAAATAGGAGTATCAGCATAGTTTAAGGCCAGCCACTGTCTATATAGTGAGACTCCCTCTCAAAAAAACGAAACAGCCGGGTATGATGGTGAACATCTTTAAGGAGGTATAGGGAGGCGGATCTCTGTGAGTTCCAGGACAGCCAGGGTTACACAGAGAAACCATGTCTCGAAAAAACAAGAAAAAAATATTGAAAGGGGAACTTGGCATCGGAGGCAGGGGATACAATCTCCACCAAGAGGGGTTCCCGCCCACATCTTGGAGCACAGCACGCAGTGGCAAGAACATCTTCCCCAAGATCCCAAATTCAAAGAGCAGTTCCCGGAAAGGCAAATCACCTAAGTCCTTTGATTCTACTGAACAGAAGAAAATACTACAGGGGAGGGCGAGGTGTCTTGCTGGGATCCGCATCAAGGCGAGAACCTACACTTGACGAAGGTGCCAGAGCACAAGAACCATGACAAACTGCCTCTCCGTGACGACACCCGATGGCAACGTAAGCGCTTAAGACCCTTACGCCGGGCAGTAAGCCTGCGTGGTCTAGGCACCCAGTAAAAAGTGAGGCTGCTCGCAGACAGAGGCAGCGCGCCCGCGGGGGGAACTCGCCACGCTATGGTTGCTCTGGCTGGAGAAGCGGGGGATGGGGGTGTCTCCATACAAGGTTGGGAGAGCTCCTGCCACAGAGTAAGTCTGAGGTCGCAGGGTGTAACCGAGGTCTCCCATTAGGGGTACGGGAGACACTCCCGACAGGTCCGGGGCCCTGCAGTAAGTAGCGACAGCGTCGGGTCGGGGTCTCCCGGAAGGGCTGGGGTTTTGCCACAGAGCTGGGCCCGGAGTCTCACCATGGTCCTGGTTGAAGCCGGCATACAGCAGCCCGTTGCCGTGGGGGTTACACGGCAGGAGGTTCATGGCGCTGTTGCGGGGTCCGTCGCTCCTCAGCACCGCATACCGCTCAAAACCAGACGATCTATCCGGTCGCCCGGCGCTAGGGCCGCCGCGGCCGGAAGCGAGGGTCCTAGGGGCTTGCGTCGTACGTGTGTCGTCAATGCATGCGTCGTCAGTGCGCGCGGACCTGTTGGTGCGCGTGCGCACAACCAGCAAGCACGAGCGCCGAAGACGTCCAACCCAGGGAAGTTGGTGGCTGGGGAATGCCAAGCTCGTCCATAAGGGGCGGGGCTGGACAGAGGAGGAGCTGCGGAGGGAGGGAGGTGCTTAAGCACTCACAGTAGGGCAGGACTGACAGGATCCAGGACTTGCTACGGAGCAGACCGCCTCCCACATGCCTGCGCACAACCCAGTTTCCCCGAAACCCTAGCCACGATTCCACGGAACACACGTTCCACCAGAAGCAGCCTCCTTGTAATGGCACCTGCGTTTTTCAGCGGACAACTCCCGCTCCACCCAAGAAACAGACAGACTATCCGTTGTGTCTTTCTGGGCTCTCCAGCAGTCTGACACGTCTTCCCACAGACACAAATTCCCAAGAGACATCTCCCTAACTCCAAGAGTCTCATAGGACACGACCCCATAGGAAAGTCGTCCCCACCGGCACTTAACCTCGGGGGACTGTTAGCTGGGGTGCCTTCGTCACAGAGGTTTGGACTCCAGTTAGACCAGAGTCAAACTGAATGGCTATGGAAGCTGGTGCTTCTGCTCTACTACTACTCATTCTCTGGTTCCCTTCTTTCTCACTGGCCCCTCCCTAACTTTACTATTCTTTCTCCCTAGTGAAGACATATAGCATCTTGGAAGCAGAGAGTCATCATGCGGGAGTCCTGTCCTTGAAAATCTGGCCTCCAGGACTTCAGAACTATGAGAATCATACTTCTATTATTTATAAACTACCCCGTCTTGGTAATTTTTGTGGCAGTTCTTCAAATGACCCAAGATATTCTCATCCTCCTCTCTGCCCCACCCAACAACCTGGGAAGGAAGTGAGTTGCACAGGGAGAGCTTGTGAGCCCCCTTCCCACCTTGCAGCCTGATTTCTGTTACCTCACTACAAGCAGATTGATTTTGCTTATGAAACTCACATTTAATTTGATAAAGCTTTTTTTTCCAGCAAAGTAAACCTGGAATCTCCAAATGTTTGCAAAAACAAACATCATGGCACCTACAATGCCCTTATATTGTCTACATAATTTTTAAAGATTTATTTTTTTATGTATGTGTGTGTGTGTCTATGTGAGTGTATGCCATATGGGTGAGGGTAACCTCGGAGGCCAGAAAAGGAAATTGGATCCCCTGGAGCTGGAGTTACAGGTGGTTATAGCCACCAGATGCAGATGCTGAGAACCAAATTCAGGCCCTCTGGAGGAGTAGCAGGTGCTCTTAACTACTGAGCAATCTCTCTAGCCCAAGTGCCTAAATAATATCAGGTAAAAAACACAAAGCTTTCTGGGTAGGAAATTTTCTGCATAACAGTCATTTTCACAGGGCATCTGAAGACATACTTTGGTGTGATGTATTTTGAATCTCAGTTTTTGAAGAGAAGCTCACAAACCTTAAAGTGTGTGCCCACACTCAGACTTTCCAGTGAGTGCCACGGGGGGAAAGTGACAAAGGTTCACGGGGTTTAAAATATATTTCAGTTATACTTTCTTTTTTGTTTTTTTATTTTTTATTTTTGGTTTTTTTTGGGGGGGGCCGGTTTCGAGACAGGGTTTCTCTGTGTAGTTTTGGTGCCTGTCCTGGATCTCGCTCTCTAGACCAGGCTGGCCTTGAATTTACAGAGATCTGCCTGGCTCTGCCTTCCTAGTGCTGGGATTAAAGGCGTGCGCTGCTGCCGCTGCCGCCGCCGCCGCTGCCGCCGCCGCCGCCGCCGCCACCACCACCACCACCACCACCCAACTATTTTTGTTTGTTTGGGGTTTTTTTTGAGGCAGGGTTTCTCTATGTAGTCTTGGCTGTCCTGGAACTCATGCTGTAGACTACACTGGCCTTGATCACACAGAGATCCACCTGCCTCTGCCTCCTGAGTGCTGGGATTAAAGGCGTGCGCCACCATTGCCCTGCCTCAGTTATACTCTCTGTGTATTCACCACCAAAGCATGAATACTTTTACTTAATATTCTCTGTTTGGTAACTTTCATCAATGTAATTTGATTTGCTGTAGCACTTGCTGGTTCTATTACTTTATCAGGTTGCTATAAATAAACTGTCACAGACTTGGTATAAAAAATGTGGGTACCTATTCTACAACATTCCTGGAAGGCAGAGGTCCAAAATCAAAGTGCAAGGAGGGCTGTATTCACTCTCAAAGGTCCTGGGGAAGAACTCTTCCTGCCTCTTCTAGTTATCACTGACTTCCTGTGGAAGGCCAAGACTTCTGGGTAGCCTCTATATTCCATAAATATCAGGTTTCCAAAAGGCTTCGGGTCACAGGAACTTAGAAAAAACAGGTTTGGACATGGTGTTTTATGCTTCTGATGTACTCAGGAAGCTGAGGCAGAAGAACCTGTGTGGCCTAGCTTAGCCAGGGATCCATCCCGCACAGCCCACCACCCATCCCAGCAGCACTGAAGAGGGAAAGACACTTAGAGGACTTTTCTTTAATTGACCTGTACTTTCATCTCCTGGCTAAGAACCTGAGAACGAGATGCTAAGTCATGGTTGTCCATGCCATAGATGTTCTCTCCATCAGTGGCATAGCAAAAAAAAAAAGAAAAAAAAAAAAAAGGCAGCCCTGGCAGGATGTCCTCACAGGTTGGCCACTGTCAAGAAGGCCTTATTCTTTCAGGTTTCACTGGCTATATACACTCACCTGTTTCTCTGTGGATATCTGTTCATTTCATCTCTACATAGCTGGACCCCCACCCTCCAGCTTCAAGCCTTCAGTGGCACAGATAGCTATGCTCCATCTTCTAAGGACATTGTTACTATGTATCTAGAGTTCTGTAAATTGTTAAATCTGTAAATCACTAACAAAAATCTTAGAATATCTGAGCTTTATCTTGGTTCACTTTTCCTGTTATGTAATCCCTGGTTATGTCCTGCTTCCTAAGCAGCAGGACCAGAAAAGAGACCGATACTTGAGCCTCTGTAGAGCCAGTAGGCTTTTGGCAAAGAGTGACAAGGGCTTCATCTCTAGAGAAATGCCTGGTCACAGCTCTCTGCTCCCAATAAGGGACAATAAACCTCTGACATTTGCCAGGAGACACAGAGTTATTTTGTTGAGAAATGGTCTCACTCTCTCATCTTGGAACTCACTATGTAGTTCCAGGTTGGTCTAAATATCACAGCAATATTGCTTCACCCTCCCAGACGTTAGCCACGACACCCAGCACCACTTCCTTTCTCTGCAGGTCTTATCTGGGAAAGAAATCTTTCCCAAAGGTTATAAAGGACAAAAACTAAGCTTTGTGGTAAGCATTATAAACCAAAACTACCCATTTTGGCCACACCAAGCAAGGAGACAAGTGGAGAAAAGCGCTATTACTTATCTAGATCTAGAAAGAGATATCATGACTCTGTAAAGAGAGGAACAAGCATCTACTTTATTGAGAAATATTTCCCTAAATAATACTGTTTTCACTTCGTTCTTTACTGAAATACCTCTCTCCTTGCTAATCTGTTGAAACAATGCTGGTTATGTTCAACATAATTGGAGATATCTTTGGCATTTTCTTCCTGTAGTTTCATAACTTGTAGGACACTTTGTACAAAAAATGTAGGTTTACAGAAAAATATGAATATAGATTACTTATTAATCCCAAAATGTAGTAAATGACATAGCAAAAACTTTATCAAATCCATGTCCTACCCAAATGGGACAGATCTGTTGTACACAATCTCTATGTGCAACTGCAGCATTTTTTTTTTTTTATAAATTGGAACTTTGACATTAAAAAGAGGTTTATAAAAGGTCCCTCTTGTAATATCAGTGATGCTAGCCTATCTGATTATCATTGTTTCTGAAATTTCTTTGAATATGTATTCACTACACACATTTTATCAGCCATATAAAAGCAGTTACAGAAAAAGTTGCACAGCAATCATGATAAAAGCAACATCCATAATTTCATATTATCAAGAGTAGGGCAGAATATTAATTTTTCCCTTTGTACACACAAGTCTAGAACAAGAGCTTCATGCACATCCACACAGAAGTGTCAGTCACAGCGCACTGGGCATTCGTACTACATCAGTGGCATAGGCATTCCAAATGAAGTAGCATCATTACTGTAAGAGATGGAGAATATGTTTCTTGAGTCTAGAATGGTCTCTGTCCTCCAGACTCTCCTAGAGAGCCAGCCCTCTTTTTACTTTTTAATTTGAGGCAGGGTCTCACTAGTTGCCCAGGCTGGCCTTGAACTCATTCTGTAGCCCAGGTGGGCCTTGAGCATGTGATCCTCCTGCTTCAGCCTCTTGAGTAGCTGGAATGATAGGCCTGTGCCACCAATTCTAGTTCCTAAGAAATTTTGCAGCTATTCCTGGTACAGTTTCTGGGTGGGCTCTGGGGTGGGCGGCTGGCCCTGGCTTTGCAGAAGCTGCTCCTCTTGTGGCTGGAGCTAGCAGTTAGGGAGTAGGAGCGGCCGTGCATCATCCTGGTGTTCAGGCCACTGGCCAGAGAGAATGACTTAAGGTGGCTTCGTAAGGCAGCAGGAAGAGGGAGCTTGTCCACTAGGTGCACAGGCGTGCAGGACACCACAGCACGGCAGCAGAGGTCCTGCAGACTCAGTACTTGTAAAAAGGAAAGAGAACCACTTATATTATGTTTTCCATGATTAGGGATATTTACAAGAAGAAGTCCCACATCTGATTGCCTCCCTCCGGGAACTGAGAACCTCTACTGTGAGGCTGTGTCACTGGTGAATGTAGCAAACCCTGTTCTGCCTCCACCTCTGCCCAAGTACAGACCACACAAAAATCTTCTCATGAGCTTTCTTCCACAGCTCTAATAATTACTTCTTTCAAATACATTTGCTTAAAAAATGAACATTTAAGGGGTTGGGGATTTAGCTCAGTGGTAGAGCGCTTGCCTAGCAAGCACAAGGCCCTGGGTTTGGTCCTCAGCTCTGAAAAAATAAAATAAATTAAATTAAAAAATGAACATTTATCTATCTATCTATGTGTGTGCATGACCCATCCTATACATGGAGGCCAAAAGCCTTCCATGAAGGTTCCAGGGATAAAATTCGAGTTGGTATGTTGGCAGCAAAATACCTTTACCCACTCAGCCATAGTCCCTAAATGAATTTGATTTTTGAGGATGGCCACAGAAGCCTTGAGGTAAGTCCTAGGAGGCAGACAATTGTGCAGGGGTTATGAAACCACCTCACATTTGATTAGGCTAAAGGAGACTCGGACTGGCCCTCCGCATACCCTTGCTCGGTCTCCAGAGACGGTCCATCCCATGCCGCAGCAGCACGATCCTAGCCAGCTCCGTGAAGGATTCTGTAATGTTGAAGTTGCACAGAGGGCTGACCTCAAAGAAGGTCACACCCAGGCGCTCGGCGTAGGCCTGGGCCTGCTCAGTGGGCACCTGCCGCTTGAATGCCAGGTGCAGCCGGTTTCCCACCAAGATTTTAGGAACCCCAGGGGCATGCTAGAGCATGAGAAAGGCAAGGAAAATGGGTTGAGTGGTGTACCTCTACAAATTCATGTCCACCCAGAACCTCAGGATGGTACCTTATTTGTAAATATGGTCTTTGTTTATGTGACAACTTAAGATGAAGTCTTACTGAATTGCAGGGGGGCTATTCTAATGACTGCTGTCTTCATCGCAGGAGGCGAGGACACAGAGGGGACCCAGGGAAATGCCATGTGACAATGAAAGCGGAGTGACTGCCAAGAGTATCTGCAACCACCAGAAGCTGGGATAGGCAGGAAGAATCTTGTCCTGGAGCTTTTGGAAGAACATGGCCCTACCAATTTATGTCCTCCAGAACTTGGAGAAAGTTAATGTTTTAAAACACTCAACCTGTGGCCCTTTATTAGGAAAGTCACAAGATCCTAATCATCAAGCGTGGTGCTCACCCACTAGGTCTCAACCAGCAGCAGCCCAGTCACTGTCCTGTACTGAGTGGTATTTGCTCCGCCCAGTCATACAATGGCAGGCAGCACCGCCTCCTTCAGGTCATATGTGGGGCATTTACCCACCAACCCCACAGCTCCCCAGAGTTTTCTTGAGTGTGAACAGCAGGAAATATTAGAAGGACCTATTGCGGAGAGTATTGTGGAGATAAACAGATAGAAAATAAAGGATAGACTCGAGAGGGCCTGGAACCTTTTCCAACGCCCCGACTGGCTCTGCCCCAGGGTATTTATAGAGACGCCAAGGGGTGGAGCAAAAGACCTCCCCCCCCCCCCCCCCAGCACAGCCAAGTGCAGACCATCTCAGACACCTGCACTCAGGCCTGTGGTCCTAATCATCCTCTATGCAGACATGCTGGGTAAAGCCACGAGGAACCCAAAAACGGGCTCCCACAGTCATGGGTGGAGCAAATACCACTACACTGTCCACCCACCTATCCCATTAACTGGGAGTGGGGCAAGCAGAACCTGCATGCCTGAGCAGAGGCACAGCAGAGCCGTTTCCTGAGCCTTGAGGTCCTTTGGTCACACTGTTGGGTCCAGCTATGAGGTGAAGCTTTCTCCCTGTTGTTGAACCTCTGGCCAACAGCCACATGAGTCAATCCCTGGCCAAGGTCACGTATCATACCTCATCAATCTCCTTAATCCATCGATTGATGCCATCAAAGGACCATCGGTTGGCAATGTCATAGACCAGGATCACACCCTGGGAGAGAAGTCATAAAGGTCAACACACAGAAAAACACAAGAGGCAAGCTTGGTCCAGAGACTTGCAGAGACAAAACTATTTTTAAAAATCAAGACAGCGGGCTGGAGAGATGGCTTAGAGGTTAAGAGCACCGAGCACCTACTGCTCTTCCAGAGGTCCTGAGTTCAATTCCCAGCACCCACATGGTGGCTCACAACCATCTGTAATGAGATCTGGCGCCCTCTTCTGTATACATAATAAATAAAGAAATCTTTAAAAAAAAAAAATCAAGACAGCATCTCATTGTATAGATGAGACTGGCCTGGAACTCACTGAGATCCACCTGCTTCTGTCTCCCAAGTGCTGGGATTAAAGTTATACACCACTATGCCTGATCCCTAACGAATCATCTTACATACTGTGACAAAAGCATACAATTTTGATTTAATCTATTCCTTATAAGAGTTACATTATTATTTCCAATGATGTTTCATGCACTCACTGACAGATGCTTAAATAAAAAGTTGAGCTAGGCCGGGCGGTGGTGGCGCACGCCTTTAATCCCAGCACTCGGGAGGCAGAGCCAGGCGGATCTCTGTGAGTTCGAGGCCAGCCTGGTCTCCAAAGCGAGTTCCAGGAAAGGCGCAAAGCTACACAGAGAAACCCTGTCTCGAAAAAACCAAAAAAAAAAAAAAAAAAAAAAAAAGTTGAGCTAGAGTCTGGAACTCATAACCATAAATTTGTCTGGGGACATTGCCGCCTAATGCAAAGCAAGTCCCTCCCCAACATATAGTGCACACATAGACATGCTTACACATAGATAAGAAGCTCAAATACAGATATGCACATGCATGTACACACACATTCAGGCACTCATGAGAATGCATGCACACACATGGCATCTGTGATGCTGAAAAAACATAATCCACCAGATTATAGCACCTGACCTGCATCAGTTTATATATAAGCTTAATTGCTTTATCTTCCAATTTAGCCATAAAAGAGATGGCTAAGTAAGAATTTGTAAATGTTATTTCTCAAAATCAATTTGATCTCCAGGCTTGGAATGCTGTTTACCTGTGCTCCTCTGGAATATGAGCGGAATATGGTACAAAATCTCCCCTGCCCTGAGGTGTCCCTGGAAAAGATGTTGGAGACTGTTAAGAGGAAACTGGTGTTTCTTCTTGATAACCATTTCTCAAACTTTGGAAGCCACACCAAGTACCTTTTACAGTCTTTGTGTTGGTGGCCATTACCTGCCAATCCAAGACAAAGTCACAAAGCCATCCTGAATTTTCTGGAGTGATCTTGGCAGCAACATACCCTTTGGGCTCATTCTCGTTTTCATTGTTGTTTTTATAGTGTGTGTGTGTGTGTGTGTGTGTGTGTGTGTGTGTGTGTGTGTGTGTTCAAGAGTTTGTGTCTGTGCACAAGCACATGCACAAGCCATGATACATGTGTGGAAAGTTAGAGGACAGTTTATGGGAACCTATCCTTCCGCTCTGTGAGTACTGAGGATCAAACCCAGGTTATCAGACTTGGTGGCAAGCACCATTACCCATTGAGCCGTCTTATTACTCTGTAGCCTCAGCCTCCTGAGCACCAAGATTAAAAGTGGACATCACTACACCTGACTGGTTGTTCTGAGACAGGGTTTCTTTATGTAACCCAGCCTTGACTCAAACTTATAGTGATCCTCTTGTTTCCTACCCCTAGTGCTGAGATAATGGACATGTGGTACCAAGCCCATCATATATATGTATATATATATATATATATATATATATATATATATATATGATAGGCTTATATATTACAAAAAAGATTTGTTCATTTTTATTAATGTGTACCTATGTGTCTGTGTGAGATTTTGTGCATTGGGTGAATGCTGCAGAGGCCAGAAGAGTGTGTCAGATTCTCTGGAACTGGAGTTACTTGGTAACCCTGAGCCATGTGTAGTACTAGGGACCAAACCCAGGTTCTCTGGAAGTCAAACTAGAACCATGGGGGCACATGCCTTTAATCCCTGTACTCTGGAGACAGAGACAGGCAGATCTCTCTGAGTTCAAGACCAGCCTGCTCTATATAGCAAGTTCCCACCACCCAGGGCTACATAGTAAAACTCTATCTCAACAAAACAAAACAAAAGTCAGGCTAGAAACCTAACAGTGGGTTTTAACATTATTCTCAGACATTTAAGTAAACCAAATATAATTTTAAAAGTTATTTTAAGGTTGGGGATATAGCTTGGTGGCAGTATATTTCCCTCACGCAAGCAAGACACTGGGTTCCATCCCTAACACAGAATATTTTTTTTTTCCATGGTTAGGCAAGATCTTTCCCTGACATTCAGTTTCTCCATAAGCAGATTCTCCAGATATGTCCCCAAGTTGATCAACATAAGGGACTGACAGGACTTCTACTCTGCAGATGATGACACACACTAGGAGTGTGGTACTCAGAAGGCTAGGTCAGCATGCCAAGAAACTACCAGGACAAAGGAAGATGTTCCCAGGGTAAGTTCCTGGTATTGTGCACTCATTGTGGTAACTCTCCAGAAAGGGGGCACTGCTTCTTCAGTCTTTTTAAAAGCTATGTAGATACACATCTACACATTTGGTTAACATACCCACTTCAACATTACTCTTGGGAATGAAGAATTTCCAAAGGCCATGTACATAGGTGTGTCTTCACAATGCCCATGGAACAGGTATGTTTTTTGCTGTACATCATCTGCAACTAGTGACTATCCCAACACCTGAGAGGAGTGCTGGGGCTCAGGAAGGGCATGAGCTAGAGGCATTGACTTTTGTCAAAGACATGGGAAGAACTATCTCACTGTTCTGAGAAGTAAAGTAATCGAAGATTTAAGGGCCAGCCTCAACAAAGCTTACATGAAAGCCACTAGAAAGTCTGTAGCAAGAAGACAATAAGATTGAGTTGTATCTGCTGGCCTTGTGTGATGCTGTTAATCACATAGGCCCATGGTGAGAGCCCTGTACATAACCACAGCCCCCTCTTCAGACATGGGAGGAGAAATACGCTGGCCTTAGACATCAGGAAACTGTGTGACTGTGTAGAGGGGTCAGTGTGGACACAGCAACTGACACCACCTGAAAGAGGCCTCAGGTTGTACAGGGACTGGGGTTAGTTTTTATTTTTTGTTCGAGATTTTATTTATTTTTATTTTATGTGTATGGGTGCTTTGCCTGCAATTATGTTTGTGCACCACATGTATGTAGTGCCCACGGAGGCCAGAAGAAGGTGTCAGATCCTCTGAAACTTGAGTTATGGATAGTTGTGAGCCACCATGTAGGTTCTGGAAATCAAACCCAGGTCTTCTATAAGAGTAGTCAAGGCTCTTAACCATTTGGCCATCTCTCCAATAACTGGGATTAGTTTTGAGCATGGTGAGAGTGAGTCCCTGAGGCCTTTGGAGGAGTGCAGTAGGGGCTTGGCTTCCTGAAAAGAGTCAGCAAGAGCTGGAGACTCAGGAGAGACCAATTCCACTGCGAAGTTAGGCCATACACACTTCTATAGACTCAGCATTTTTAGGCAGAGCCAGTGGAGCTAGAAGTGCGACCTCAGATGTGTTTCCCCAAAGGCCACGGGGGCTCAGAAGGGAGAATGAGCCCCAAATCCCCAGGCTTAGGTCCTGGAGAATGAGGAGGACAGAGGCTGTTTGGCTTAACTCAAGAATGGTGTGGTGCCTGTAGGGGAGACAGAGTAGAGGGAGCTGTAGCCCAGGAGGTCAATAAGGCTTCTACCCTTGGAACCAGGACACCCTGTTGTTGTGGGATGTTCTGTATGGAAAATGTGTTGCTAATTAGTCAATAAATAAAACACTGATTGGCCATTGGCTAGGCAGGAAGTGTAGGCGGGGCAAAGAGGAGAATAAAGCTGGGAAGTAGAAGGCTGAGTCAGAGAGACACTGCCAGCCGCCATGATGAGAAACAGCATGTGAAGGTGCCGGTAAGCCACGAGCCATGTGGCAAGGCATAGATTTATAGAAATGGATTAATTTAAGCTGTAAGAACAGTTAGCAAGAAGCCTGCCACGGCCATACAGTTTGTAACCAATACAAGTCTCTGTGTTTACTTGGTTGGGTCTGAGTGGCTGTGGGACTGGCAGGTGAGAGAGATTTGTCCTGACTGTGGGCCAGGCAGGAAAACTCAAGCTACACCCTGTACTCTGTTCTGTACACTCAGAATTGGGGGTGGGAGAACTGGTCTGTCTTGGTCACTCTACTTCCATGCCTGGCAGCACCAGGTGAAGTGAAACAGGAAGCAGGTGACAACAAGGTATCTTGTACCGACAAGGGCTCTTTCTTGGACATAGTTTAGCCCTAGGAGCACAGCCCCTTAAATAATGGGGTAACGGGCTTCAATGGGCTCACACAACTGGGTCAACACCTTTTGAGGAAAGCCACCAGCTCAAGCTAGGACTAAAGGGCACGGTTCCAGGACCAGAACATCCTGACCAGCATAGCCCCGAACTCACCAAAGCTGCAGTTTCACCCTTCGGCCATCTAGCAGGATGGTGGTCGTCTTGTGATCAATTCCTGCAAAAGGGTTCAGGACATATTAGGTTTGGGGCTGGATGTATTTTCTCAGCCATCACCAACAACAGAACTATGAAGTATGTGAAACTGTCTTTTTTTTTTTTAAGATTTATTTATTTATTTATTTATTTATTTATTTATTTATTTATTTATTTATTTATTATGTATACAGCATGTTTGACTGCAGGCCAGAAGAGGGCACCAGATCTCATTATGGATGGTTGTGAGCCACCATGTGGTTGCTGGGAATTGAACTCAGGACCTCTGGAAGAGCAGGCAGTGCTCTTAACCTCTGAGCCATCTCTCCAGCCCCCAAGTATGTGAAACTCTTGCATTGAGAGAGAAAAAGGTTTCTCATCATATAGCTTCAAGTTCACAGGCAGGTGTGAGATCTCTGAAGATTCCCTTAGACCCCAGACTGACCTCCCAGTGGACAGCCACTCACATTCAAGCACTCTGGTATCCATGTTGGCTGCCATCAGCTCAGTGCCTGGGTGCTTCCCAACTGGATATGTTGGGCCTTGGTCATCCCCCACTGCTGTCTTCAGGATGGGCACTGAGCCGGGGGGATGAATGACCCCATGATGCTGACTTGGAACTCCTACTCTCAAGAACCACTCTAAGTCTTCACAGAGCTATGTATGGCCGGCCTAGTGGCTGGTGGATTTGCTGTAGTGCCATAGCCAGCTGAGTTCTCCATCACTTATCTGTCCCTTCTTACCTCTACCCCTTGCTCTAGCCACCCTACACTGCACATGAAAGCTAATCTCAGCTGTTTCCAAGGGAACAGGGTTAAAATAGTAGGCCTGGCAGTGGGAGTGTGTCCCCTGCGAATTACACTAGGAATGTGAAGGCAATGCAGTCTGGGAGCAGAAAGGGAGATGCCAACTCTGATTCTGTGTATGCACAGGAAGGTAGGCCAAGCCTTAAGCTAAGTGACCTCTAGACTATACATTAAGGGCAGTTTTCTAAGCTTTCCTCTCTTTTCAAGTACATGTGTGTGTGTGCATATGTGTGGTGTATGTTTGTGCACATGTGCATGAGGATGTGAATACAAGTGTGACCAGCATGTTTGAAGGTCAGAGGTTAACCTCAGGTCAGTCTCTCCACCTTAAGATTTTATTTTTAATTATGTGCATGCGTGCGCGTGCATGAGAGAGAGAGAGAGAGAGAGAGAGAGAGAGAGAGAGAGAGAGAGAGAGAGACAGATAGAGAGAGAGAGACAGAGAGAGAGACAGAGAGAGAGAGACAGAGAGAGAGAGAGAGAGAGAGAGAGAGAGAGAGAGAGAGAGACATTATATGTTGTGGTACACCTGGAGGTTAGAGGACAACTTCCAAGAGTCAATTCTCTACATCTACTTTTGTATGAGTACCAAGATCAAACCCAGGTTGTCACTGTCACCAGCTGTCTCCTCCAGGGTTCCTGACATGCCTCTGAATTGGGCTCTAATGTGGATGCTAAGGGTCAGGGGTAGTGTCTGAACTAAGATCATCATGCTCTCATGGCAAGCACTTTCCAGCACACCATCTCACCAGCCCCTCAGGTCTTGTGTTTTAATTTTTACTACATTCATGGGCACCTGGGCAGGAATGCATGCCACAAACTTATGCACTTGTATGAAGTTTAGAAGACAACCTCTTCTTCCACCTTGTGGGTCCCAGGGATCAAATTCAGGTTTGTTGTTGTTTTCCAAGACAGGGTTTCTCTGTGCAGCCTTGGCTGTCCTAGAACTTGCTCTGTAGACCAGGCTAGCCTCAAACTCAAAGAGATTTGTCTGCCCCTGCCTCTCAGGTGCTGGGATTAAAGGCATTGGCCACCACTACCCAGCTGAATTCAGGTTCTTATGCCTAGCGGCAAGAGCTTTTTTTTTTTTTTTAAAGATTTTATTTATTTTTATTATGTATACAACGTTCTGCTTGCATGTATGTCTACAGGGCAGAAGAGAGAACCAGATCTCATTACAGATGGTTGTGAGCCACCATGTGGTTGCTGGGAATTGAACTCAGGACCTCTGGAAGAGCAGGCAGTGCTCTTAACCTCTGAGCCATCTCTCCAGCCCGCGGCAAGAGCTTTTACCCATTGTCCCATCTCACTAGCCCCCTAAAATGTGTGTGTGTGTGTGTGTGTGTGTGTGTGTGTGTGTGTGTGTGTGTGTGTGTTTGAGTATGTTTTGCTGGGGATGGAACTCAAGGCCTCACAAATTCTAGGTAAGTGTCCTACCAAAGGACTGCATCCCAGATTCCCCCAAAGTTTTGTTTCATTTTGGTTTTTGAGACAATCAGGTCTCATGTAGTCTAGGCTGACCTCAAACTATCTATATAGCTAAAGAAGACCTTCCCCTTGTTTCCCACTTCCTATGTATTGGGATGACAGGCATGTACTATCATGCCCAACCTCCAAAATCTATTTTTAAAAACAAATAATATCCTCCTTCATGCCACCAGAAACCATTTTTCTGCTTTTTAATGAAACCATTAAAACCATTTAGTGGGGCTGGAGGGATGACTCGGGGATTGAGACACTGGCTGCTCTTCTAGAAAACCAGCTTCAGTTCCCAGCACCCAGCTGGCAGATCACAACCATCTACCCGATGTTCTCTTCTGGCCTCCATGGACACTGCATGCATGTGGTACACAGATATACATTCAGGCAAAACACCAATACACATAAAAATAAATCTTAAAAAAAAAAGAACCATCTTCTGGGGCTGGAGAGATGGCTCAGTAGTTAAAAGCACTGGCTGTTCTTTCAGGGTACCCAGGTTCAGCTTTCAGACCTGCATGGCAGTTCACAACCATCTGTCATTGTAGTTCCTGGGGATCCTATGTCCTCTGCTGGCCTCTACAGGCACAAGGCACATACATGATGCACATACAGGCAAAACACTCATATATATAAAATAAAATAATTTTTTAAAAGAAAAAAACATCTCCTGAGCCTGGTGTTGTGGTGATTCATGCCTATAATCTCAACACTGGGGAGGTAGAAGCAGGAGGATCAGGAATTCAAGATTATCCTTACCTACATAGTAAATTTGATGCTAGCTTGGGCTACCTGATACTCTTTTGAAAGAAAGAAAAAATGAAAATGAAAAATGAGGGCTGGAGAGATGGCTCAGAGGTTAAGAGCACTGGCTGTTCTTCCAGAGGTCCTGAGTTCAATTCCCAGCAACCACATGGTGGCTCACAACCATCTGTAATGAGATCTGGTGCCCTCTTCTGGCCTGCAGGCAGAACACTGTATACATAATAAATAAATTAATTAAAAGGAAAATGAAAAATGAAATGAATGAAACTGTGTGCATTCACTTCTGGTGCCCCTGGATGATAGCCAGATCTGGAGACTAGAACGTACAAAGAGCTGATGAGAATAGGACCCAGAAACTGAGCCCAGGAAAGGACACCTGAAAGGGGCTCACCCTTTGTGTCACAAATGCCACAACTTTTGTAACCCTAAGAATCCAAACTGCCAACTAGTGAGACACACTAGTTTTTTTGTTGTTATTTGTTTGTTTGTTTTGGTTTTGGTTTTGGTTTTTTGAGACAGGGTTTCTCTGTGTAGCCCTGGCTGTCCTAGAACTCACTCTGTAGATCAGACTGGCCTCAAACTCAGAGATCCACCTGTTTCTGCCTCCCGAGTGGAGTGCTGGGATTAAAGGTATTTGACACCACTGCCTGACTTACTTTCTTCCTCTCTTTCTTCCTTCCTTCCTTCCTTCCTTCCTTCCTTCCTTCCTTCCTTCCTTCCTTCCTTCCTTCCTTTCTTTCTTTCTTTCTTTCTTTCTTTCTTTCTTTCTTTCTTTCTTTCAAGATAGAGTCTCACCATGTAACCTTGGTTAGCCTAGAACTTGCTGTGTAGACCAGGCTGGGTACAAACTCACACAGATCGACCTGCTTCTGCCTCCCTAGTGTGCCCAATTGGAAAAGTAGAGCTTGTATGAGTCAGGTGTACAACTTGGCCATGCTTCTTTTGATCTTCAACACTAAAGGAACAGCTTTGGAGCTCAGTGCAGTCACCTGGAAGAATCTAGAGTTCTGGGTTTCAACTACAGGTTACCATTCCCAGGAGAAGTGTTGCAACTCCATCTCCAGAGTGCAGGGCACAGGAATGCAGGAAGAAGCCCATATATGAGTTCTACTAGGTAGCTCCTCCCCAGGTCTGCAGGGAGAGAAGATGCCTCAGCAGTTGAGGTCTCTATACTCTGGCTCCATGTGGACAGAACAGTGGTTGAACTAGTCCTGATTACACAGCACCATGGGGCTGGAACTCTTTCTGAACTCACCTGTCAGTCCCCTCTACCCCACCATACATTTCCCCAGTGTTATGTACCTCTTGTAACACACTCCCTCCTGTTTCTGGTCTGACTCCCTTATCCAAGCCCCAGCTCCTGCACTCTCAGTTCTCTAACAGTCTGTGTCTCAGAGTAAGGTTCTGAATCCTGATAAGCTGACATTCTATCCACAGGAGAGAGCCCATCATGCCAGTGGACAGCTAAATCAGTGGAAGAATGAAATCCCACTCCTTAGAGAGGAATGCCTCTGCTGTTCTTTTTAAGAAACTTGGAGTCAGAAGCATGGAACCTCCTAGCCCATTAGTGAGAACACACCAAGATGCTGGCATGCCTGTGACTTTGGACATTCCTTGGCCTGGCTTGTCTCACCCCTGACAGCCCCTCCCCCATCTCTCCACCTTTATGTTCTCTTGTCTCTATCTATTTCCTAGCCTGGAGGATGGTGGGGGACATTTTCAGCATCATATGCTGACTTCATTTCCACAATGAATGGCTACAGCTATTGCATGTCTCTATTTCTCTCAAATGAGGACTCTTGAGGTGGCTTCCTCATGTGACCACAGGAGAGAATCCCTTCAGGAGAAAGAAAAGTCCTGTCCCTTCCAGGAGGAGCCCATGCTGTCATCCCAGCACAGTAGCCCCCTCACAGACCTTCAAATCCATGGAATGCATAGGACTATCAAACACAGGTGTTCTGCAGTGATCAGC